GTCACATGCTTCCACTGTCCATTTTCTTCACCCTGCAGTCTCCCCTCAGAATTCTTCAGTCCTGCTTCCATCTGCAAGTCTGATCTTTTCCCTTCAGCTGCCTCATGTCTTTGCTCCATAATCCACTTCTAAACCCTTCTAAACTCAACCAGCCTTTCTACCTGCATCTCCAATCCTCGGATCTTTTCTTCCATCAAATCTATCAGATGGCATTTCATGCAGACAAAACTCTTACCAGGTCCCCCCTCCAGAATCATGTACATACTGCAGCTTCCACATCCCATCATCTCCATTGTGTCTTCCACTACATGGGTCACTCCCACTGCTGCCTCTGTATCTGTCATCGCCTTCCCACCTAAATCCTGTTAATCTGGGAAACACAAACCACACCAAAACACCTGGCCTATCACTGCCCGTTTCTCACTAGGGAGCTGAGCGGGCTTGTTTGGAACCTGCTCAGCTGAATCTGCATGATATTAGTTTAACCTGTATTATTTGCATAAAAACCTCTCCCACCCTCCCCCTGCTAGGGCTGGTGGCCAATAAGAGCTGTTTCCCCAGTTAACAACCTCTCCCTCCCTCTGCCCTCACTCAGAAAAATCCCTCCCATTCCATTCTCTTCTGCTCAAAGATCGGCTTTTATACGTTGCATCTTCTCTGAGAAAGGTAACTGCCATTGTTTGGCTTGGGTGTCAATTGCCCTTTCCCCCAGGGGCTGGCCCTGCAGGGCAGTCAGGAAACTATGGTTTTTACTGCTCTGGTGTCTCGCCCCACTCCCGACAGACTAGGCAGTTCCTACTCCCGCTTCTGTCAATGGCAGTGCTCCCAGTGACTTCACTGAGAGAGAGATTAGCCCCTGCCTGGGTTCTCTGCAAGCTGCCCTGGAGTTTGTTCCCAGCATCAGAAACCGGAGCTAACCCCCAATACCCGGGATGCACCTGAAATGTGGTTTAGTCGCCAGCCCTGCTCCTGTGAGGAGGCCTCATACCAGCAGATTTCACCAACGGGTAGGCAGGCCGTTTGGATTCACAACTGATCCATTGCGAAGTGCAGCCTGTTTTTATCTGGATGAAAGACATTTGGCTTAAGCTCAGTGTAGCTAAGGCTGAGATAAAGCTTGTGGCAGGAACATGCAAATGGCTTATGCAGCTCTAGGGCAGGAAGTGTTGCTGAGTGAGAGCTGTGATGCTGGCAGACCAGGTGCCACCTCATGCCAAGGTCCCCATGTCTCAGTGGATCAGGCTGGCTCAGCTGGGGGTTAGTGTTGTTGCAAAAGGTGCTAGAGTTATAAGAACGTGTTCAGACTTTATGGAATGCTGGTGAGCTGCTGCCTGCATTCATTAATCTCACAGCATCTGTATCCCATACTGTATGGTAACATCTGAGAGATTGCATTGTGAGCCTCTGTGACTGTCTCTCTCCTGTCTGGTGATTTACATAAACTAGTGTGAAGGGCTGATCTGCAACAGAAGGTGTTACATCCTGCCCTATAGGAAAGGCCCATCAACACCAGATGGACTATCGTGGGATGATAAAGAGGACAAAAGATGTTGCTTGCTATGCCCTGTCCTGTCCTCCTGCCCCCTCCACTCTGGTAAAGATGAGTCATGTAAGTGGATTCCTCAGGAGGGAGAAAGGGGCTAAAAATGCCTCATAGAAAGGTACTGGATCTCTATGCTGCTTGGACTCTGAGGGGCAAGGTTTACCAGGCATAAGTTTGTTTTCAGTTTAAACCACTTTTTACCAAAAAATTCCCAGGTTTTACAAAAAGCATTATTAATTTTTTTCTGATTTTCACCCTACTTTTGTATCATTCAAATATATATATATAAAACTTGTTTTATTAGGAAAATACAATAGATGGCATGAGATATATGTATGACAATAATACATTAGTCTGTGGGTATATGCAAAGCTGCCTGGTGAAGAAAGGCTCTGTATTAGTCTAGAAGATACACACAATAAACAAACAGGCACGCAGGCAAGCTCTGAAGTGCGTGCACATCTGGATGTACTGATGAATCTCACGCCCACCCCATACACATTTCAAGCTGTTAGCAGATAATGGGTTAAAGATTTGACACACTAAAATGGGAAGAAAATGAAAATCTGTATCAGAATGTGTTTCAGAACACAAGGAAGCATTCAAAAGTTGAAAAAAAAACAAAAACAGGAGAAAAGGCTGAAGATTGTATGCCCTGCAAATGGTGTAGCCCAATTATTAAATGTAAATATTTATAGGCTAATAGTTCTAAGTCTACAACAGTAATCTGTTTATTCAGAGGAAAAGTTTTATTTGGGGACTGGAGATACTGTTTTCTTAAACTCCAAGGTGGCACTGTGTTCTGAGTTCTGTCTTAGCCCTGCAGCAAACCACATTGATGAACAATATTCAAAGCGTTAAATCTGCCAAATACTTGTTCTTCCTGTCTTTCTGTCCACCAAAATAAACCCTGATATTTACCCAGAAAAAATATTAATAGTTTTTTGCACTGATTTTCACCTGTTTTTGTTGTGGTGGTATACACGGATAAATTCCTGGGGAAAATTACATAAAATAAAAGCTGAAAATGAAAAGCCCTAGACATAAGCAAGAGATCCCCAGTGCTTAGCCTAGGTTAGACCTAAAGCTCCTATAGACCTTATTATAAAAGCTTCTATTACTTTTTGAAACGTAGGATTGGAACTCATTTGTGTGTCTCCAGTTTACCAGTTTTAACTTTATAAATATCTCTTATTTCCTTGTCCTATTCAATAAACAAACCTTTATATAATTTATTATAGGATTGGCCAAAAGTGTTATCTTTAGTGTGAGATCTAAGGTGCAACTGACTGGTCCTTTGGGACTGGAAGAAACCTGAATATTGCTGTGATCCTTGGCATACGAGACCATCCATCACAGCTCTATGCTCACCTGCGTGGCAAGACAGATCGGAGTGCACTAGGGGACTGACTGTGACTGTGTTGAGGCCCACGGTGCCTGAGGCTTTTAGAACTCACAACCGATTGAGGGTTTGTGCCCGTTCTTAACAGCCTGCCCTGTGGTGGGTACTCATGGGGCTTTGAGTCACTGCAGGCATTTTACAAGGCCAGGGCATGGGCTTCATGTTTAATCTGCATGGGCGGATTACACAGCATAGTCTCTCCTCCTCCCTGTGGCTACCTCTGCTCTGTGGGCTCTCCAGCGACTGGCTAGGGAGGCTGCAGTGGGTGCAGAGCACAGCGGCCCGTCTGCAGCAGGGACCCGGCGCGAGGGAATCAGTAACAGTCCACGGTGGTGAACTTGTACACTGACAGTCAGGGCGGGTTCCTGCTAGCGATAGTCCATGGAGCCTGTCCCAGGCTGGTGGGCCTCAATAAATGAAGCAAGGCCAGGGCCCCTGTGCCAGAACAGGAGCTCCAAGTTATAAAGGGTCAGGAACTGGTGAGGGAGAGAGACTGGATGTGTCAGAGCAGCCTGGGAGAGTCAGCCAGGAAAAGGGGGAGGTGCCAGGTGCCTGGGAGCCTGGAGAGGGTCCCTGAGGCAGCTGCGGACAGCCCTGTGCAGGCCCTCCCTGGAAAGAGGGAGGAATTAGCCGGAAGCCAGGGGCAGGACTAGCCTGCTCGCTTTCAAGAGCCAAAGCCAGTGGTGGGGTGGAAGGCTGAAAAGGGCTGAGAGGAGCTAGGGGAGGGGCTGGCCAGCTGTCCTTCCTGATCCCAGAGCCACGGCGGAGAGGGCTGAAGGTTGGGAGCAGCAGAGGGAGATGCCAGCTGGCTCTCAGAGCCAGAGAGGGCTGAAGGCTGGGGAAGAAACAAGGTGAGAGACAGTGGGGCTGATTTGTTGATGGACCATGGGGACTTGTCCCTTTTGTTATGGTTTATGTACATGTGACTTTTATAACAAATGAACCCCACCAGGGCTATATTTAGACCAGGGAAGACTGGTTGAACTATTACTGGGAACACTTTAGGAGGGAAACTGAGGCAGACGTGCCTCTCCTGACCTGGCCTGCTGCAGGAGCCGGCTCCAGGCAGGGCTGCCATGAAAGAGCCCTTAATCATTGGGGCCTGAGCCACCTCTGCTCCCCCCCCCCCCCAATGAGTGAGGTCATCAGGTTGTCTTCGCTGGCCAGCCTGAGTGTCCATCTAAATCTAACTCAGGGAGTCAGGGTTGCAGGATCCCATAGGGCAAAGGCTGAGAGGGAGAAAAATGGGAAAAACTTGGCTTGGCCAGGAATCTGTGTCCAATATGTGGGATCCCAGGGCCCCATCCCGGGGATGTGGATTCCAGTCCCTGACCCTAGAATGTGATCTGTGATTCAGCTCCCACCAAGAGACCCCACAGCAACCCAAGTGCCAGCTGTGAGCTCAGCTTTTCTGGCTTGGGGCCGTAGCACTTTACACGTGGACTTTGCCGAGCAAAGCCAGGCCCCAGCTCCCTTATGGGATCCGTGTGGCCGGTCTCCCGCAGGGATCTGCTCGGCGGGATTGGGGCCCAACTGTTCCCGGTGGCAAGAGACTTTGGACAGACAAAAATTCCTGTTCCGGCTCAAATCAAGTGGCGTTTCCCCGCTGGAGTTACTTGGATGCGGGACCGACTGTTGTAATCATGGCACGAGTGGGGGGCTGAATCGCCCCCCAGGCAGCTGGGATGGGGAGAAGGGCCCGTTCCCATGCTGGAGAAGGAGGCCCGGGGCGGGGGCCTTTTCAGTTGCTCGGGGTCAATACCGGGCGCGTCCAGCCCCTTGCCCGCCTGGGCGCAGGGAGCAGCCTGGAGCCCGGGGGCCCCTTCGCAAGAACCGTCCTGCCACCATTCGGGCGCCCGCGCCCGCGGCTGGAAAGGGAGGCGCCCGGCCCGGGTGCGCCTTGCAGGAGCCGGGGGCGGCTCCCGTGCAACAAGGGCCCGGGCCCGGCGGGAGTGCCTGGGGGTCACACGCCAGCACGGGGAAAGCCCCTGATTTCTGGGAATCCACGTGCTCCCGCCACACAGCTGCAGGCGCGGGCCTCCCCCGCCTCCCCGGTGCGCGAGCTCGAGCCCAGCCCCCAGCGGTGGGAGCGGGGCTGGGCGCCGCAGACCGCTCCGGGATCCCTCCGTGCGCGAGGCGCTCCCCGGCCGCCGCGAGGCGCCCCTGCCTGGCCCGGAGGTAACCGGGGGGGCAACTGCAGCCGGCGGCTTTTAGCAGCCTGAACAAGTCGGGAAGGGGCTTAGGGTGCCGGGGAGGCAGGGAAGCGCTGGGCAGGGGGCCCGGCCAGCTGGGGGGTTCCGCGCCGCCGACGTGCAAGACCCCCCCCGCCCCGGTGCTTTCTCCAGCTCTGACGGCTGCTCCCAGGCGTCTCCCCGCCTTGTCCGGATCCTTTCGGGCCCCGATGCTGCGCTCCCTGGCGCGGCCGGGCCGAACGCTGCCCCCCCTCCCATCCGGCAGCCCCCTGCCCCCGGGCGGGCTCCCAGAGCAGGATCGGTTGTCGGATCGCGGACGGGCGCCGGGCTGGGCGCACCGGCAGCCGGAGCTGCAGGGCTCGGGGCTGCGCTGGAAAATCCCTCGCCCTGAAAGTGCCCCAGAGCAGCGCGGTTCCAACTTTTCTTCTGGCCGACCCAGCTGAAGAAAATTGTTGATGCCCCCGGCCCAGCGGAGCTGGGGATGAGGAGTTTGGGGTGTGGGAGGGGGCTCTGGGCGGAGGCAGGGGGTTGGAGTGTGGGAGGGGGTCAGCTCTGGGCTGGGGGTACAGGCTGTGGGGCGAGGCTGGGGATGAGGGGTTTGGGGTGTGGGAGGGGGCTCTGGGCGGAGGCAGGGGGTTGGAGTGTGGGGAGGGGGGTCAGCTCTGGGCTGGGGGTACAGGCTGTGGGGCGAGGCTGGGGATGAGGGGTTTGGGGTGTGGGAGGGGGCTCTGGGCGGAGGCAGGGGGTTGGAGTGTGGGAGGGGGTCAGCTGGGCTGGGGATGAGGAGTTTGGGGTGTGGGAGGGGGCTCTGGGCGGAGGCAGGGGGTTGGAGTGTGGGGGAGGGGGTCAGCTGGGCTGGGGATGAGGAGTTTGGGGTGTGGGAGGGGGCTCTGGGCGGAGGCAGGGTGTTGGAGTGTGGGAGGGGGTCAGCTCTGGGCTGGGGGTACAGGCTGTGGGGCAAGGCTGGGGATGAGGGGTTTGGGGTGTGGGAGGGGGCTCTGGGCGGAGGCAGGGGGTTGGAGTGTGGGAGGGGGTCAGCTCTGGGCTGGGGGTACAGGCTGTGGGGCGAGGCTGGGGATGGGGGGGGGGGGGGGGGGGGGGGGGGGGGGGGGGGGGGGGGGGGGGGGGGAGGGGGGGGGGGTTTGGGGTGTGGGAGGGGGCTCTGGGCGGAGGCAGGGGGTTGGAGGGTGTGGGAGGGGGTCAGCTTGGGGGGCTGGGGATGAGGGAGTTTGGGGTGTGGGAGGGGGCTCTGGGCGGAGGCAGGGGGTTGGAGTGTGGGAGGGGGTCGCTGGGGGGGAGGGGGGGGGGGGGGGGGGGGGGGGGGGGGGGTCAGCTCTGGGCTGGGGGTACAGGCTGTGGGGCGAGGCTGGGGATGAGGGGTTTGGGGTGTGGGAGGGGGCTCTGGGCGGAGGCAGGGGGTTGGAGTGTGGGAGGGGGTCAGCTCTGGGCTGGGGGTACAGGCTGTGGGGCGAGGCTGGGGATGAGGAGTTTGGGGTGTGGGAGGGGGCTCTGGGCGGAGGCAGGGGGTTGGAGTGTGGGAGGGGTCAGCTCTGGGGTGGGGGTACAGGCTGTGGGGCGAGGCTGGGGATGAGGAGTTTGGGGTGTGGGAGGGGGCTCTGGGCGGAGGCAGAGGGTTGGAGTGTGGGAGGGGGTCAGCTCTGGGCTGGGGGTACAGGCTGTGGGGTGAGGCTGGGGATGAGGGGTTTGGGGTGCGGGAGAGGGCTCTGGGTTTGGGGGGAGCTCAGGGCTGGGGCAGGGGTACGGGCTTACCTCGGGTGGCTCTCGTTCGGCGGAGCAGGGGTGCTGAGTCAGGCTTCCCGCCTCTCCTGGCACTGTGGATTGTGCTGCGCCCCGGAAGCAGCCAGCAACAGGTCCAGCTCTTAGGCGGAGGCGCGCAAGTGGCTCTGCGCAGCTCTCGCCTGCAGGCACTCCCCATGCCAGCTCCTATTGCCTGGGAACTGCCAATGGGAGTGCGGAGCCGGTGCTTGGGGCAGGGGCAGCACACGGGGCCCTGTGGTCCCCCCTGCCTAGGAACTGGACCTGCTGCTGGCCGCTTCCGGGATGCAGCGCGGTGTCAGAACAGGTGGGGACTAGCCTGCCTTAGCTGGGAGCACCGCTGCTGGGACTTCTAAGGGCCTGGTTGGCGGTGCTGACCAGTGCCGCTGCGACCCAGTGCCTTCCATTCCCTGACCCACTACTGGGTCGTGACCCACAGTTTGAAAACAACTGCCTCAAAGTGAGTGCTTGGTCTGTGCACAGAGGGACTGCGGCATTCGGAAGCTTAGATGCCATCCCACTGCACCTTGGTCCCTACCCCTCACTCGCTGTGGCGGGCGGAGGGTCATGTTCCCCCTTAGAGGCCAGGTAACTGATGCGGCTGGCTCTGTGGGTGCTTTTGTGGACAAATGCAGAATGTTTGCAAAAACAACCCCCCTTCCCCCCCGCCCAGTTGTATTTGGGTCAGTCAGCTGGGGGCTCTGCTGGGAAGGCTTAAAAATAGCATGAAAAAGAGATTTAAGACGGAACCTTTTCCAGGAACTCTTCATCACAGAGCAGATTGGATGGTGGTGGGGATGCGGGTTTGGAGACTAACTCGACTGGAGTCCTGTATCCTGTCTTCAGCCCTTTACCCCACAACTTTTCCATCCTTCCGCTTCCCACTGTCTGATTCCCACCCTGATCCTCAATTAGCAAACTGATTGAGAAATCACCCGCCCCCAGCTGACTGCCTTGCCGGCGTGGCTGTGGTGAGGTTAGTGGCAGATGTGTCGGAGCTCCCAGCTGGTGGCAGACATGAGCGTGGATGAATTATTAGCAGTGAGCATGACACATGCTCGAAGAGCACCTCTCATCAGAAATGTTCCTGTGTCTCTCAGCTGTGCACCTGCCAGGGCCGTGTGAAAAATCAGCCGTGCACAAACTGTGGTTGTATCAACCACGTGTCATTTAAATATTAGCATTGGCCTTTGCAAACCTGGCCCATTCATCCATACCAACGCCCTCTCCCGCTTGTATGTGTCTCTGCATCCACCCACAGCAGCATGCTTGAGTGGAGCCGCGCTTTACCCCCTGGGATCTTACCTCCCAGTTGCACAGGATGGTAGGATGGCCCAGTGACTGGGAGGCTAGCCTGGGATTTGGATTCAATAACCTATTCTGCTACAGACTTCTTGGATAACCAGCCTTGGCCCAGAGATCCCTTGGGACCAACTGGAGAGGGCGTAAGGGGTGCATATGGCATATAGGGATCCCCTGGGTCTGACGTTTACATGACAATGCGCCGAAGAGTGGCATATGAGGTACACACTTGTTGTCTTAATCGTTGCAAGAGGGATGTATGGATGATCTGTAAGGAGTTAAGTATCTATTCTGAAAACTATGCTCTTAAGGTATGTGAGTTAAGACAGGTCGCCTGGAGGTAACTGACAGGTTCTGTTCAGGTAGGGGGCAGGAGATGCTTATCTCCCTTGCTGACCATTATGATGTGTGGCTTACAATGTAAAGCTTGTTGCATAGGGAGCCAGCAGCTTTATTGCAAAGTCAACAAGAGATCACAAAATCTACAGGAAGGAGCACACCACAGGCAGGTGGCCTAGTTCGAGCTAAGATCAAATAATTAGTCTGGGTCAGAAAAATGCAGAGAGACCCCCGGGATCCTTCACCAAGGAGACAAGCTGCCAGCTGGCATATGAATGGATGGTCGCAGCTGGTCTGGTTAACACTGGGAGAAAGACTTAGGGTGAGAGAACCTTTATGAGACAGGACCATGTTGGGAGTTAAGTCTAGCTGCTAAAAGGTGTATTATGATTTGGCATTAGACGTAACCAGTTGTTTCTGATACTTTCTACCTACTTCCTAGTACTCCAATCTCTGTTAAATAAACTTATTCTGGTTTTCACTCTGACCTGATCTAAGGGGTGTGTGTTTGGCGAAGCTGTGATCTCAGGTGTCATGAGTCAGTGGGGTTACTATTCTTTGCGGAACTGCGAGCCTGGTAATTCTGACAGTCCAGTGGAGCAGGGGCTGGATGTTCAGAGGGTGTGGCGTTTGGGCCTGCCTATCGCTAACCTCCAGAGGGACAGGGGAGCCAGTGTGGGCTGAGAGGGAAGGGCTTGTGCTGCCCGTGGTTGGCAGAGCCCGGGAGCCAACCCGTGGCAGGCACAGACAAGGCTTCCTCATGGTAAGGTGCTGCACAGCCGTGGGTACTCTGGCCACTTCATCTGTCTGCTGCAGATCCCCTCTGTAACCTATGGGATTATTGCCCTGCCCGCCAGGGGTGCCTGAGCTGAACACACTGGTGATGGAGAGATACTACATGAACAAGGGCAAGCGGAGCACCACAGAGAGGGAGAGCCTGGCACAACTGCTGTGCCCAGGGTAGAGAGAGAGAACCAGGGCATCCCAAAGCCCGCAGGTCCTGTGCACTGAGGGGCGATTTGGGGAGCTTCATGCCAGTGTGCCAGGGCTCCCCCTCTGCACAAGCTCCGTACATTACAAGTAAGGGCAAAGGCAGCTTAGAGTGGCTCACGGCGGGGTGGACAGATGGCTCCAGGCCAGCTGCTCGAGGGGCATGGCCAGGTTTTCAGGAGGGTTCCGCACCCGCTGCTGCAGCCGAGATGCTGATGCCCAGATCCTGAAAGGTCTTTACAGACCTAATTCCCGTTGACAGGTGCTTTGAAGGAGCCAGGAAATCGGGCTTGTAAAGCATGGGCTGTTGGGAAGTGTGCAGGGTGTGTGTGTGTGCACACCTGCTACTAGTGACATAATTTAGCACCTCAGTTCACCAGCGCAGATGCAGCCAAGGCTGTTTGCTAAATTTATTGCAGCTTGGTTAGGATTTTATCATAGGCTTTGTTTTTTAATGCTCCCTATGAACCCGCTCCGATGCTGTGTAAATCCTTATCACCCCCGACACACACTGTGCCTACCCACAAAGGAGCCACCTCATACTTTCGCAGCAGGAGCTGGAATTTCCTCATGCTGGTA